TTAGGGTGTGGGGTGTAGGGTTTGGGGTTTAGGGTTTATGCCCTAAGCCCTACAGGCAAGATTGGGCATTTAGGGGATTTATTGTAAGAGGCTTGGGGGAAAGAGAAGGATTTGGGCATTGGTTGTATTGGCTATGGTAAGAATGTGATCCAAACTAGCCGTCTACATATATCTATGTAGATATATATATAATACATCCATACATATATAGATCTTTAGACGCCAATCATTCAGGAACAAGCATAAAATAGAATAGACCCCGAAATGGAAAGACGAATAGCTGGTCTTCCCAGGCCATAAGCCCCTTAAGTACCAAGAGTCCAAAACTCCAAATCCCGAATTTTTGCCTTTGACCATAAATCCTGCACACCCATATGCCACCCCTCAGTGCTGGTCACCCTGCATTGCCTCCTCCACCCCCTGCTGCGTCCGTGACAGCTTCACGATGAGGCGACGCTCTTCCTGCTGGGGAAAACGAGGACTCTATCTGAAAGTTTGAGACTTGGGGGCACACAGTCGGGGGGAGAGAGAGAGGGAGAGAGAGAGAGAGAACCAGAAAGATAAAGAAAGAGACAGAGAGAGAGTGAGAGAGAGAGAGAGATTTAGAGATATGGGTTGGGCTTGCAAGGTTTTAGGACTTGGCTGCGATAACTGCCAACATTGAGGATCCCGGATCCCCTTTCAGGGGGCTCCGAGGCTCCTTCAAGCAAGCATCTGCGTTGCGCCCTCGAAAACACTTAAGACTGCCAGTCTAATCACCTCTGAAACACGGAGGGCTTCGGGTTCAGGGTTTTAGGGCTTCATGTATAGGGTTCAGGATTTAGGGTTCAGGAGTTTAAGGTTTAGGGTTCAGGATTGAGGATCTAAGGTTTAGAGTTGAAGGTCCTGGGTTTAAGGTTTAATGTTCAGGGTTTAGAGTTTAGCGTTCAGGGTTCAGGGTCTAGCGTGCGCGACTAGAGGGATGTCCGTCTTCAGACTTAGGCACGTGAGCTATGAGCTACAGTCACCCAAACCTGCAGAATCAAATGGACAAGAAACTTGAACATGACATGGAAACTGGGGCTGTATAGGGGATTGTAGGGGTTCATATGTCCCAGCTAATTAATGGACATGGGTTCTTATTAGTGGCTATGTTTAGGATTAGAAGCTGCAAGAGGGACTCCTATGCCCACTTTTGAAGGTCCCTAAACAAGCTGACAGTAACAACCCTAAACCCTAAACCCTAAACCCTAAACCCTAAAACCCTAAACCCTAAACCCTAAAGTAGCTCATACCAGAACCCTTCACCTGCACCCCACGTGCGCAGTCAGGGCTGCCTGTGCGGAGTGGAGCAGGAGGTAGACCTCCGGCACTGAGGAGATTACTGGGTTGCTGTTAAGGAACTTAAATTAAGTTACCATAATGGGTATATATATATATATAGAGTAAATCATAGGATTTCCCCAATATAGTAACTTATTTTAAGTTCCTTAACAGCAACCCAGATTAGCAATTCAGGGTTCAGCCGGCGGGCCCCACTAGCACACGGATTCGTTGATCAAGGTCTGGGCCTCATTAGGTGATACCTGCCACAACGAGCATTCTTGATGCAGCAAACATTGCAGGATGAGACAGCACTGCAGGCCCTACGACATGCAATGGTTGCTTCCCCAGAGTATGCAAAAGCTGTGTCCCCTTTCTCATGCCGCGAGCCCCTAAGCCCCCAGGCATCTGATTGCCAAGTACTGCGGTCCTGCAAGAGTGCGACTCACAGCCTCCCCCTAGACTCCTAGCATTGGCGCCACGCAACCTCTTCCGGAGCTATACAGTAGATGCATTCAAAGGGGGGGGTAGGCGTGACTCCGCTAGCAGGGCCACGGAGAACGAGACTTCAGCGAACCCCGTGACTCCGCAAAACAACGTCCCGTAAGTCAAAACGTTTGCAGCCGTGATTCGCTCTGCCTGATTAGCAACTTTCAGGTGCAGCTTGCACAACACCCGGGTCAGCTTCCTAAACCCTAAACGCCTAAACCCCTAAACCCTAAATCCTAAACCCCTAAACCCTAAACCCCTAAACCCTAAACCCTAAACCGGGTAAGAGTGGGTAGCAGGGCTGTCAAGTCTAACCTCCCCAAAGCACAGGGTTTGGACCAAGGGTTCCTCCCAATCTTCGGAGACCAAACCCTAAGGGTCCAAGGACCCAAATAATAGGGTTCCTTTAGAGGGGTTCTAGGCAGATGTATAGGGTTAAGGGTCCAAGGACCCAAATAATAGGGTTTTAGGGCCCAAATACCATTAATATTACAGTATTTGGGCCTTAAAACCCTATTATTTGGGTCCTTGGACCCTTAGGGAAACACTCCAACACTTCGTTCCCCCACTGCGCCTCCTTCGTGCTGTTGACGGGCACTTGTATGGTGGGAGATGGCACGCCCGCCTGCTACAAGAAGCGATGATGTTTCGGGAAGCGAAACCAGGAGTTTCGGATATACTTGGGCCTCCCAAATACCTACAACAATAACCTGATCCATCCATTTGAGGCGAAATGCCTTCTGGGAGGTCCAAATAGCGTCTAGGCTCAGGAAAACAGAACAAGGCAACAGCCGTACTGCCTTGCGAGAGAGTAAGGCTGAAGAAGGACATCAGAAAGCCTTCCCACTAGCTCTATGACTTACTTGGGATGAGTAGGAAATATGGAATTTATTATTTAGGGATTATATTCCCTTATTCTCTACTAAGAACCAGCCCGTGAAGCTTCCAGTGAAGGAGAGGAAATCTCTGGTGGGGGCCCGAAGCAGCCCCTCCTAATGTGAGAATCGAACTGGCTTTTGGTGATTATAACTCATCTAATACCATCAAAATATCGGGATTGTGAAGGGAATTGCACCCTGAACCCCATAAGCCTTACACCAAACCCTCACACCCCCACATCCCAGGTGCCTCACCCCCACTCCCAGCTCAACTCGCAGAAAAACCAATGTAAGTCACATCATCTGCAAAAGGCATATACCATCATATAGGCAGCCCCTGCAGCCACTAACAAAAGGTTTACTGGGAGAATGTGGGAAGCTTACTAATTGCCAATATCCCTTGGGGTGGGCGTCCTTGAAAACCCGAATACTAGAACCCTTTGTCGAGGATCCCCAAGGTCCCTTCATTTTTGGAATCCTAAGCTCTGCATATCCATATACATCCCCATAGAACCTCATATAACCTCTAAGCCTTAAACTTCTATAATATAACCCCTAAACTCTAACCCCTAAACCCTAACCCCTAACCCCTAAACCCTCAACCCTAAAGCCTCAACCCTAAACCTTGGGTACTGCCCCCACTCAGTAACAGTCTATATTACGGGTCCTATTAAGGGCTATATATAACCATATTGTACTTAATTATTATCGAACTGTTTCTGAGGGGTGGCAGTGCTGAACCTCAACCCTTTAAAGGAAACCCTCGCGTCTAGCCGAGCGACTCCCAGAGCATACTGGCGCCCTCCAGGCTCTTCCTGGCAAGGTGACGAAGGCATGTTCAGCCTTTAGGGGTTTGGGGGTAAAGGGCTTTGGGTGTAGGGTTAAGGGTTTGGGGTTAAGAGTTGCAGATTTAGGGTTAAAGGTTTCGGCTTCAGGGTTTAAGATTTGGGGTATAGCCCGCCTTAAGTAGATAGAATAGAGGGTAAATTGGGATCTTATTATGATGCCGGGCTCTTCCATACCTACATCAGGAGGGCAATACCTTTGCCGCTGTCGTCGATTCAAAGAAGTCATAGCGCCTCAGCAGCCTCCATGACATGTATTCCCCCCAACCCCATTCCTCCCCGCTATTCTTCTGCCGTTGAACAAACCCTAAACCCTAAACCCTAAACTCTAAACCCTAAACCTTCAACCCTAAACCCTAAACCCTAAACCCTAAGCCCTAAACCCTTAAACCCTACGCCCTAAACCCTAAACCCTAAGCCCTAAACCCCATTCCCCCTCCAGCCACCAGCCTCAAAGTCGAGCTTCAGGCCCTGTTGCTCGAAGATTGCTACGAGGCGGACCTGCGTCTTTTATAGGGGTTATATGGGGGTTATACAGGGATCATTTCAGGGGTATATAAGGATTTTATAGGGGTTATATAAGGTTTGTAGGGGGAATATATATATATATAAGTTATATAGGGATTTTATGGGGTTATATGGGGTTATATATGGATTATATGGGGAGTATATGGGGTTATAGAGGGGTTATTGGGGGATGATGGAAAAGAACATGGAAACTACGAT